AATTCTACTCCTGAGTACCATGGAAGAAAAATCTTACTTTTAGTTATGAGATTTCTTTTAACTTCAGAGAGGGTCACCACCCTCACAGAGAAGAATTTCTTCCCAGTATCCCACGATTTTCCTCCTAGTGATGAATCCTCGTGGCAAATCCACGTCTGGGGATCATGGAAGCCCAGAATACTTTGGGTTGGGAGGGACCTTAAAGCTCATCCAGTCCCACCCCTACCATGGGCAGGGACACCTTCCACTATTCCAGGTTACTCCAACCTGGCCTTGGACACTTCCAGGGATGGAGCAGCCACAGCTTCTCTGGGCACGTGCCCACTTTCTGGAATGGAGAAAATATCCATGTCACTGGGATCAGTGCAGCCCTTCCCAAACACTGTATTTTAAGGATATATTGTTTTGAGTCGTAATCCTTTATCCTTCTTATTCTTTATTGGCCCTGTGGAAACAAGGGTTACAAATGCATTAATCTCCCTGCCCCCTCTTTTTAAACCTTCATTCTGGAGTCTGGAATACATTTATCTCTCAGTCCCACGGGGCTGATCTGAAGGCCATGGAAATCAATGGTACAATTGGCTGGGCTTGCAGGGAACAGTGGGAATGGATTAAAAGGATGGTGGGGCACGTTCAGCTTGGAGATATTTCTTGCAATGTCTTGAAATGTCTGTGCTGGGGAGTGGCAGAATCCACCATCAAAACATTTTAATTCAGAGATTAAATGCAGAGATGGAAGTGCAGGAAGAAGAGACATTAATCAAAAGTTCTCTAATATTCAAGTTTTACTTGCACAGTTTCCATAGTAAGTTTATAATATGTGTTCCCATACATAAGTCTTGTCCATATCACATCTTCTGTTTCCTCCAACTGTGACAAGTCCTGTTTTACCTGCTTAAAAGAAATCTGATTTTCCCAGTCTATTTCTTGGAGTGCGGAATTTATTTCTATGAATTTCTTAGCTAGGTTTTTGATTTTAAATTTTCTCAGATATTTAAAACAAATTTAATTAAATAAATTTAAATAAAATTTAAAATACAAACAAAAGACTTTGTTTCTAGGGTTATTAACAGCTTAGACACCTCTGAAATATTATTTCTCTATTCTTTTCTTCCAAGTCTGATTCCTCCCATGATCACACTGACACAACAGCTCCCATAGATATGTGACCATGGAATCAGTCATGTGGCTCTTTGCTCATGTGCAAATTGACTTCTTTATCTTCTCTCTCAAACTCTTAAAGCCTGTTTTTTCCTATAATAAATATAATATAATACAATATAATAAAAATATTTTATATATCAAATAGGAGCCAGGGTGCTGCTGCACTCAGAGCACTTTTTTTATCCTTCTGGTCTCTATTTTCTTATTTTGGTGGACTTCTATTTTTTTTGTCTTCAAGTTTGGTGGCAAATTCCTGGCTGGGCAGCTTCCCTAGTAAGAGATGTAATTCCTTGTGTCCCTGCTCACTGAACAAAGCTCCAGGCACTGTATTTATCCAGATTACAGCTGATTTGTCATATTCCTTATATAATACATTCTAATAGACTTAAACTGGGGGAGCATTTTGTAACTCCTGTGTAGGAGCTTCATCATCAAATCCTATTTGTTTTTTGGATTTGGGTTTTAATTCCCCATGAATCCCTTTGTAAATGTCTTTTTCTTCCCAGAATAATGTCAAACAACTTTTCTGATTGCTGGGTATTGTTTCTCCTGGGACATGATGGGTTCCTCAGAGGTAGGATTTGTCAAGTTTTTACATCTTTTCTTATCGTGACTGAGAGTATTAGAAGTGTTTGGATTTTTTGGATGCTTTGTCCTGCATTTCCTAAGACCTTTCCTTATGAATAAACTCATGGAATTTTGTTAAGTGGGCTGGAATATAAGATAACTAATTTTTGAACTCCAGCCTTGGGTGCAGTGAAATCTTGTGTATCTGGGGCTTGTTCTAAGCACAAGTAGTTTTGCCAGTTATTTCAAGAGAAAAAAAATGACTTTTAAGAATTATCTGATTGAGCTTTAAGGCATCCTGATGCAACAACAGAAAGTTCTTTTGGCAGAATGGAGGACTCCCTTATCAAAATAATTAATGATTCCATAGGATAATCAGTTTGCAGCTGCACTGGGAAGTCTGTGCCGGTCTGCCTGCACTGGAAATAAGATTTTAACATTCCTACATCTCCATTTCTAGTCTATAAAACTGAGATTTCCCGTGGAGGAATGGTATAGTCATCAATAGAATCATTTTATATAATTGGGTACTCTGGTGCTGCAATTAGAACTGACATTAAACACAAGCCAGGCTGCCAAACCACAGAAGTGATGGTGGAGAACAGAATCCTGCAGCATTTACACTTCCCAAAGCACCTCTGTTGCTCTGGTCAGCAGTCAGGCAGCAGGAAACACGATTATCCAAAGCTGATCCAGCTGTCCTGTGATGGGAACTCTTCCCCACTGCTCTGCTCCACAGGTTTTAGTCTTTCCTTGCTGCCAAGTCACTAAAACTGGAGCAGTTCCCCATTGCTGATCCGGGGGATGTGGGAATTAGAGCCATGGGACAGCAGGATCTGCAACCACTTAATTTAAACAACTTGTTGGATGAGCAGGGTTGAATTTTGAATTCAAAGAATGAATTATTTCTGGTCTGGAGTTCATTCCTAGACCAGGACTGTGTCATCATCATGGCCAGGCTTTGTGAATGAAAATCAACTAATTATGAGTAAATATTAAAATAAAAATTTAAAGCTCTCAATAAAAACATGGAATCCAGGTAGAATCCAACACAAAATGACCGCAAAAAAAAAAAAATAAAAAATTCCAGGATTCTAATTGGCAAAGTAGAATCTGAGGGTTTAAGTTTATTAAGGTGGAACTAAATTTGTTGGTTTGGGGTTTTGATTGGTTGGTTTTAGACACTCATTTCTTTTTTACACAGGAAAAAAAACCCCATATGACTTCATTTTACCTACTGTTACTCCCAGTGAACAACTTAACACAAATATTCGATATCATAAATTTAAAACAAATACTGTAAATATATTCCTAGAAATACAACCCCACAATAGTAGAGGAGCATTTGGTGATTTGGTGACTTTTTCTTATGTTCTTAACAAATGCTGAAGTGATTTGAGTTAACCAAGTAATAACATTAACACTAACTTTTTCTCCAAAGACTGGGAATAAAGCTTTTCTGCTCCAATAAATTTTAATGGACATGTATTGGTTGTGTTTAAATGCTTGTGTATAGTTTTTGGGTTTATTATTATGAAATGTTTTAACTCATATGTTCATTCATGTGCCTCATGTAGCATATTTAAGTGGTAGAATTAGCCTTTTTTATCAAGATGCAGAAACAGGCCATTGTGTGTTCTCTAAAGCAATAAAATGGTAAAGAAGGTTTGTAAAAAGCACTGTACACCTGTCTGGCAATAGAACAGCCCCACTGGCACTGCCTGTGCATGTGACCATTAAGCTGCCTAAATAATGGTATCAGGACTGTGTACCTAAAGCAGAATAGTCTAAACAATATGTGCTAAACAGGGTTTGCTGACTCTGGTCTCTGCTGCTGGGGACATCTGTTGCCTGCTATGAACATGTCCTGTGCTTATGGGACTCATCCAGACAATTCTCATCCTTTATTCTCTTTCTTCACTTTATCTAGAATTTTACATATTTCTAACTTTTTCTTCAAATGTCCAAATAGTTCAGGCCATTGAATCTTCTTGCTCTGTAACTCCAGTGATGTTTCAGGGACCATAAATAACCTACATTTTAGAGTTTATGCTTTTCCTCTTGGAAAACACGATTAAAATTATGTTCTTACTGTTCTGAAGGCTTAATTTATTTGTCTTTCTCAGGCAGATTATTTAAAATCTCTTATATTCAAACGTAAATAATCAAATCTAAGTCCTATTTGCTGTAGATCTTAAAAGAAAATCTTCATTCCTTCAATCTTTGCTACCAACAGAGGAAAGCATCTTATGCAAAAAAAAGAAAAAAGAAAAAAAAAAAAGCACTTGCAGTTCATCTTTTGGGTAAGACTATTACAAAGCTATTGGAAGCAAAAAGCCAGCCTACAAAAATGCATATTTTGTTGTATTGCCTCAGGTATGGAGGGATGAATTACAGGATTGGAGTCGTATTTATGGCCTCTTTGTTTGGGGTTTTGTTGTTGAGGCACTGGGTGGGGGGGGGGATGGTGTTTGGGGCTGGGTGTTGGTTTTTTTTTTTCCTCTTAAACTTTGTGAAAGCAGAATGTGAAAGTAGGTCACTGCAGCAGAGAGAGGGCTTTGGGTGGCTGAGCACAGCCCTGCAGCCCCCAGGGAGGGAGGTGTGGTGTCACCCCGGGCTTTTGGAGCTGGCTCTGCAGGAGCAGAGCATTCCAGAAGTCTGGAGAAGGGTCATCACCCACCCCCAGGACCTGCTGCCCGAGGCACGTGCTGCTGTTGGGCCATTTCTGGCCCCACTTTGGGCATCAGCCTCATCCAGGGCTGGGGGGAACAGGGAAGGGCGAGCTGGTCTGCTGCAGGATCGGGTCACTGGTGTCACTTCAGGCCTGGAGGTTGTTCAAACATGGTCCTTCTGCTCTATGAAATGTTCTCCTCCACCTTAGGCAGCTTCGATCTGAGTTGAGGGTTTAGATCCTGGTGAGGATCTGAATTTTCGAACTTCTGTATTTGTCAGATAATGTCTCACTTTTCTATTTCTTTAAATGATGAAAGATGGATTTATTTTTTTTTTTATACCTAAGATGATTTAATGGCTTTTTCTTTTACGTTTTCTTAACAGGGATGACATTTAGACAAGGAAAAAAAAAGAGCAGCCATCAATAAGTGGTTTTATTGGTTGAATTTTAATGTTATTTTTAAGCAAATAATGAATTACTTTGACTAATAACTGTAGAGCCAGACATGATTCATTCCATAATTAGGTTGACAGTCCCCATCAATCCTGTAGTTTTAGTTCATCTGATTATAAAATCTTGTCTCCTTTTCTCATAGAACATCTTTTCAAGGTGCACCCCATGAAATCCAAAGTGTTCCTGAGGACTTTCCGAGCAAAGCTTTGGCAATTCCAGATCTTCAGCCAAGGTGGCTTAACACCCAGCCTGAGACTCAGCTTGGGGAATATCCACAATTTAGCCTTTGCTGATCACAAGTTTTTTTTTCATAGAAAAGTTAAACCTGGGAAGCTTCAGCTGAAAATCCAGCTCTCCCAGAGGAACTGAGTACAGCCAAAGTGCCGGTTGGGCACAAGCCAACAGATCCGAGGGACTGAGGGGACACCCCACTCCGTTTAGTCCCAGCACATGGGGCTGAAGGCAAGGAATTGCCTCGTGTGAGAAGCTTCCAGATGTTCTAGATCAGCTGCGTGGGAGATTCCTCAAGTGCTGAATCAATAGAAAGAAGATTTTCGACTTCTTTTCAGGAAAACGACAGGATAAGAGCACATATCCTCAAGCTGTGCCCAGGGAGGTTCAGGCTGGACATGAGGAGGAATTTCTTCCTGGAAAGGGTGGTCAGGCACTGGAAGGGGCTGCCCAGGGAGGTTTGGAGTCCCTACCCCTGGAGGTGTCCAAGGAAGGTCTGGCTGTGGCACTCAGTGCTCTGGGCTGGGGGACAAGGTGGGGATGGGGCACAGGGGGGACTGAGATCCTGGAGATCTTTCCCAACCTTAATGATCCTGTGATTCTACGATCCCAGAAGTGTCTGTGTGCCCATCCACAGCTCTCTGGGGTTCCTCCAGCTTTCATTCAAGCCAACAGCAGAGCCCTGAAGAATTCCAACCTGCTAATTCAGATGTCTGAGGCTGATCTCTGCTCCTGCTGGAGCCACATCACTGTTGTTGAATTCTTGATCCCTCCCAACACCCACATTTCCTCCAGGATGGCTAAATACATGCCAACAACCCCAAAGCCCTTGTGACACCACAAGGGTGACAGTCAGAGCACATTTTGTTGTATTATTTCTATCTCCCTGACTCCTACACAGAGTTTCCACGGGAAAACTGCAGAATTCCTACACATGTTCATTTTTAGATCAATACATTCACGTACATTGAGATGTTGTTACTTCTGTAGGTAAAAATCCATTATCTGCCTTTGCTCTTGTTCCCATCAGTGAGGGAGGTTGTTGGAACCTTCTTGAAATTTCCCACAGTAGCTGGAAAAATATTTATCGTATTGACATGCCAGAGAATAAGCATTTATTTATCAATAAAAAACAAGGAGTACAAGCTTTTTGGCGTGGTCTAAGAGTGTCTAACACATCAGCTGGGCAGTGGTGCTGTGGGCTGGCTGTCACACAGCCAGATTTCACTGTTCCCTCTGCAAGAAGAAACATTCTTATAACAACTGGCTCTCAGTCTTAACTGGGTTTTTATACTGTGGTTCACACTTTTGCTTGTTGACAGATTTAGAGCTCTTTGTGAAAGCAGTAATTGGCCTGGGAATATACCTGGCACGATTCCCCAGAAAGGAGTAGGAATTGCTGAGGTCTTTCATTAGCTGGGAAAACTAATGGAACGTGCTGCTGCCACTGCCGTGTCCTTCCAGGAGAGCTGAGATCCTGCTGCAGGAACTGGGAGGACAGGACACACCACTCCCCTCCCTGGCTGCACTGGAGCTGTTTGGCAGCTGCTGCAAACATTAATTTACAAGAGCATGGAGTGACAGGAGGAGGTTTAAATGAGACATTAGGAAGAAATTGTTCCCCGTGAGGGTGGGGAGGCCCTGGCACAGGTTGCCCAGAGAAGCTGTGGCTGCTCCTGGATCCCTGGAAGTGTCCAAGGTCAGGTTGGACAGGGCTTGGAGCAACCTGGGCTAGTGAAAGGTGTCCCTGCCCGTGGCAGAGGATGGAATTAGATGAGCTTTAAGTTCTCTTCCAACCCAAACCATTCTATGATGCTGTGATAGTTTTTAGCACTTCTGTGGTGGTTTCCCTCATTGAAGCTCCTGAGCATTCCCCATGGGAAGGGACTGTGATTCCTGCTTGGCTCAGTGTGGGAGGAGAGAAGTGAGGTAGACCCTTGACATGTGCTCCATCACTCTTTGGGCTGCAAAGCAAAACTGCAGAGACTTTTCACTTATCCCAAGATGCAGCACATCACAATCTCAACCCTTGGACCCCTCTGAAGGACCTTCCAGGGGCTCCAGGAGCTGGAGAGGGATTTTGGACATAGGCTTGGAGTGACAGGACACAGGGAATGGCTTCCCATTACCAGAGGGGAGGGTTAGATGGGATATTGGAAGGGAATTCCTGGCTGTGAGGGTGGGGAGGCCCTGGCCCAGGTTGCCCAGAGAAGCTGTGGCTGCCTCTGGATCCCTGGAAGTGTCCAAGGCCAGGTTGGATAAGGTTTGGAATAACATGGGATGGTGGAAGGTGATTCTGTGATGGCCTGAGAGACCTGTGATGTCCTTTTGGTGCAGAGGAGAGCCCAGGTGGGATTTGGGTCTCTGGGGGTGTTTGCTGCTGTCAGGACAAGCCCAGAGAAGCTGAGCTGACCCACCTCAAAGAAGGGATCTGAGGGTGGTCAGGGAGGTCTCCTGTCCTGTAGAATTTCCCATTCTTTGTCAGGAAAAACCACAGGATTGGCCAGTGGGAAAGACATTCAGCTGGGTTTGGAGTTCATTTATTTTAGTGTTCGAGGTTTGTATTTTTTGGTTGGGTTGTTGTTATTTTTTTTCAGACTGGTTCTTTTATCTACAAAAAACCCCCATAATTTCTTTTCATGAATTTGTAGAAAGATGCTTCAGGAATTTAATGCCACAGGGTCATATTCTGGCTATTAATATTAATGCCTTAATCCTGGATTTGGAGACACTTTCTAGAATAAAACTAGAAAACTGTGCACTTTTTGAAGAGTTGTTAATAATACAGGAGGAGTAAAACATACCCCACTTGAGCTATTTTGGATCCAAAAGTACCAAGAGCTCTTGATCTGAAGAAGTATTTCTGAGGAGATACAAAGATCCTGAAAGAAATCCTGTATAGATGATCTTTAAATTAATTGTTGGTTGTATGGAATCGATGCCTAAGGAGCTAAAAAGCTTTATCTGTGCAATCATTGTATCTTTTCAAAGTGAAGAGAGATTGGATGGAAGTCAGTGGGAGAATAAAAATAGAATTATTATGTAAAAGTGTTTTGGAAAGAAAAGGAAGTGTTTTTCCATCCGAGACATCCCAGTTTGTTCCGTTCACTGTGATTCTCTTTCCTCTGGAAAAAAAAAAAATCTGATTATATTCCTTATGTTTTCATTCAGTGAAGGTAATTTTAGGAAATTAATTTCCCTCATTAGGTTGTATAACTCAATCCTGATTTACTGAAATGATCTTAGGAAGGAGAGGCAGACTCAGCCTTAGATATGAAGGTATTTGAGTAAGAAATCCTGCAAGTTTATTATTTCTGTCATTTTGGAGAATTGTAAGGGGTCTGATTTGAAGGATGGTCTATGAAATCCCTAATAAACCTCTCTGCCCTGGAACACTTCAGTGTTTTAAGGCTGCTCTAATATTGCTTCCACAGATGGGCTACTGAATGAATCAAAACTAAGTTTATGCCCTTGGGTTAAGCCCTGTCTCTACCTCAGACAAAAAGTCCTTATTCAGGAAAATCATATATATGAGATACAATTTGTCCTGAAGTGCTTCTGAGACCCTGAAACTAAAGCAACTAAATGATAAAAAAAATCATAATTAATCCAAAAGGTCATTTTTGGTTATTTCATATTTTTTCCGAAGGAAATAAGAGAAATAACACCTTGATCTTCACGTTTGGGAGTGGATTTGTATTCATGGCAGTTTACTGAGTAAAATCACCTGTATTAAGTAATAATGTAATTAATTGTTTGTGGGAAGTATAGATATTCCTATAGGTGGTCCTGGCAGTAAAACTAAAGTAGTAAATTAAAATAAAAATATATATTTATATTTTATTCAAGCCAGTTTTACTACCAGCCCTCTCTACCTAAATACCTGGTATGTGTTAAATGACCCGACCCATCAATACAGAAGCAGAGAATACATGAGATAAAACTTAAGAGTTTAAAATCTGATCTGATACAACAGCTGAGATGGTTTCTCCAATTAGGACCCCAGAAAAATTAATGCTCATATTTTATATATCCTTCAAAAAACAATCCAAGCATAAAATAAATATAGTTGGCTAGAAAATTGTACCAAATTAGTGTTATCTCCCAGGGTTTTGCTGATCTGGGATCTGATTTTAAAACTAATACACTGGTGCAATGCTGTTGATTTTGAGAAGAAATTTGAACAGAATCTGGGGTTTTAAACTTGGATTCCAGTCAAGCCTTGACTGGAAGGACCTTATTTCCATTTCTGTGTCTCCAGCTGTTAAAACTCTACCAGTAGCTCAGAGAGGAGACAGGAGAAATTTGGATTTCCCTGCTCCTGGATAGGAATAAATCCCCCTGTTAACTCCTTTCTGCTGGGGTGATCCAAGGAAGCTTCACAAGAGCAAGGTTGGGGGGTTTTTTTGGAGAGAACAGACTATTCTTTACATGTATGAGGACCAGGAGTCACTCACAACATGCACAGGTCAAAATTTTCACGGCTGGATGCTGAAAATCAACTACTAAGATCCTAAAAATCATAAAACCCCCCACTGGAAGCAACCCCCAACCCCCCCCCCCCCCCCTTAAATTATTTTAGTATAAAACCCTCCTGGTGAAATTCAGATCCTTGGTGCACCTGGACAGGTTTTTAGACACTCATTCTGGAGGAAAAAAGCCATTCCCTCCTTAAGCTGATGCCTAAAATCCCACTAAAGAGTCAGGTTTCACATGAGAGAATGACAAAAGAAACCCCCATAAAACCAGATATTCTCACCACTATGAGGATATGAGAATGTCAGGCTAAAACTTGAGGGCGAAAAGTCCACCCAGAAGTTGATTAATAATCTTAAATTCCAGTAAATAACGAGGGAGCTTCAAGAAAAACAGCTTTTGCTGAATACGCTTTTCAGCAGAAGAAACGAAGCCACAAGTTGAGAGCAGGACATTAAATATATATAAATGATGGGAACTGGGAATAGAAAAAAGTGAAAGACAAGTTGGTGTGTTACATAAAACATAACAAATGGTTAGCAACATTTTCAGTTGAAAAGAGGAATTTTGTTGAGCACGTCCAGGTCATTTATGTCTGTCCCTCTGTATTTGAAAATCTACAGCACAAATAGTTGCTAAATTTATGCGTTTATTATGCAATATATATATTATATATATTATATAAATGTACACGTTCATTTGTACATGGACAAACTCACACAAAATCCAACCTATCAGAGAGGGAAAAAGACATAAAAACTGATATTTTGGGCTTTTTAAAATCCCACTTTAGTTGGACCGTGTTTTTAACCAGAGGTTTTATCAGAGATACTTTGGAGGAGTCTGTTGATGCCTCATTCTTAGTCTTCAGTCTGGGCTGAAAAACTCAAATAAAAACATTGTCTGGCTTCTTTGCAGCTTTAAGGAAAGCACACGGGTCCCTTCTAATCTATTGCCTTGATTTTGGCTGCTTCCTAAATAAATAAAAGATTGCCTTTAACATTTTAGCAGTTGTTTAAGCAGCAAAAGAGATAAAAGAAAGTTAAAGGACATGCAAAGATTGAATTAAAGCCTTTCCCAGCATTTTGATGACAAAGTTTGACCATTTTGAGGAATAAATCAATTTGCAGTCGCTGTGGACAAATAGCTGAGACTGAAGCTGAAACTGTTCCTTTGGGAAATGTGCTAAAAGATAAAAGGAGTCAACTTTCTTTTGTGTGAAGAAAAACAGAAAGGATATTTGGGACCAGGAGATATGCAAAACTCTACTAGGAAAATGAGAAGGGAGAAGATAATGTTTATTATAGTTCCAAAATTTCCCAATTAGTATTCTAGATCTCTTTCACATCACTGAGAATTTCCAGTTCTAAAATTTCCCCAATTAATACTTTAGACATGTTTCACATCGTGTAGAATTTAAAGTGAAACCTGTATATCCATTACAAAAATCCAGTTATTTAGAAGCTGAGCACTGGTTTTGTATGTATTGTTCCTTTGTGGTTTACTCTTAAAGAATGGGGGGTTCCTAATCAAGAGTCCCATGGTTTGATTTGATGACCTTGGAGGTCTTTTTCCAATGTGGATGATTCTAGAAAATAAGTGGCACCACAAGAAGCTGAAGAACATTTTGAGGTGCCACTGGAACCAGGAGAACAATGACAGAAACACAGAAGAGCAATGTAAAAGAATCCTTGTTAGATTTCAAAATAAGTGAATTTTTGTAAATGTTTCACTTTAAATTCTAAATAATGTGAAAGATACTTAGAATATTAATTGGGAAATTTTAGAACTATAACGTGCATCATCTTCTCCCCTTACATTTTCCTTTTTTTTTTTTGTCTCATGTTTTCTCATTTCCTTTTTATTCCTCAAGAATCCCTAAACAATCACAGACATTCCTCATCCTTGGAGTCGTTTGCTGTCCTTATCAGGATTTTGTCACAAAAATGAAGAGTTTAATCCCCCCTAATCATACATCAAATGGCAAATCACTCCATCTCCTCAACCTTTGGAGTGTTCTGCAGTTGGATGAACATCCCATTGCTGTTGTGCCCTTCTTCAGCCTCGGCAGCCTGGGAGGAGCTGGATGGAAATCCAGCATTTTGGAAGGTTGAGATGGTCAGTCAGGCTGGGTTTGTTCTGCCCACGTGCTAAGCTGGGCATAAAGCTTTATTTTGTATGGTGGTTTTATTTTGTGTTGCTTTATGATCATGAATCAAACTCAAAAAAGCCCAAACTCAGGAATGGCACAAATCAATTGGTGTGGGTTTGACTGTAAGGAGAGAGAGGAAAAAAAAAAGGGAGGGGGCCTTTTTCTCTCTGCTTTCTTTTTCAGCTGTGTTTGAGCTGCTAATTGAAACCATCTCCTGGGCTCCAGCTGGTGCAGTTCCAGCCGGGAGGAGGCTCCTTCGGCGTAGGTAATGTCTGTTTGAATTTGTAAAGCTTTAACCTGCCTCAGCCAGCAGATGAATTCTTTTATAGCTTATGATCCATGGGAACACTTAAAACTGAATTTCCACATGCTGGAACGCTCTCCCAGCATATCAAGAGACTGAGTAAAGCCCTGATTAAAGCAGTGTGGGAAGCCCTGGGTACTCCCCCCGCTCCAGCCTGGGAGCTGCTTGGCTGCCAAAGCAGAGGGGTGTGAGGCTCTTGCATTTTATCAAGCAAGGGGACGTGTCACCGTCCTTTAACGTGGCTAATGAGCCTTGGGGATTTAAGCTGGGCTCTTCCTCCCTGCCCCCAGCACAAGGAAGGGAAGGAGGTTGATTTCTAAACCGGACAGGGTTTGGGAGATACTCTGGAAGAGAGGAGGGACCACTTTCCACCCAACAAGCAGCCCAGCTTTGCTTCTTTTCTGGGAATATATCCCTGTAATCCTTTGAGAATAACGGGTAGGAATTTGATTCCTGTATACTTACATTTCTACTTGCACACTTACAAGATACAGACCAAAGGCTCCTTTAAATAATGATGCCTGGAGACAATTAATTAGCTTTATATATGTGTGTGTATATATATATATTTACATCTGTGATATATAGGCTGACTGTTTCTCTCTGAAATCACAAAATGGTTTGGGCTGGAAGGGACTTTAAAACTCATCCAGTGCCACCTCCTGCCATGGGCAGGGACACCTTGCACTATCCCAGGTTGCTCCAAGCCTCACCCATCCTGTCCTTGAGCAATTCCAGGGGTGTGGCATCCACAGATTCTCTGGGCAACCTGAGTTACATAGGATAAGAACTAAGTCAGCCCTGAAGTAGAGAGAGTTTTCAGGGTAAAATGTGGTACTCGGAGTGAGGGATCAGCACATACTGTGAAACCAATATCCCCTGGATCTCCATCTAAGCACTAACAGCACAAAACATCAAAGTCATACCCAAAAAACTGTCTGGCTACCACTTCTAAAAACACACTGAACCATTGTGACTTCAGTTCCACAGACATTTCCCTCCTGATGTGTACATGGAGTGTATTAGTGACTGGCTGGGAGTGAAGCTCTGACTATTTACATGTAGCCTAAAGCCCAGTAGTCACATCCAGTGAAATCATCTGCTTGGCTGGGCACTGGTTGTGGTTGCCTATGTAACTGGGAGAGATGGTAAAATACTTAAGTGCTTCTAGAGAGCTTTGTGTCACAGTTATTTTATAATAAATGTGTTTTCAGAGCTGCTACAGACCAGACTCGCGTCCCTTTTTAGAGCACAGCCCTAATTTCAGCAGAGATGAGGAAATATGACTGATGTGTAGCCCTCGAAGAAGAAATCTTTTTCTGGGTTAATTGGATAAACAATGCCATCTTGAAAAATTAGAGGTTTAGAGCACTCCAGAAATATTCTGGGTGTTTTTTTGCTTCCTCCTGACTCAACCACAGCTTGACCTAAAAAGTGCTTAACTTGCTGTGTTGTGATGTCATGTCTTTGAGCTTATTTGATTTGGAGTGCTCTGGGTGTCTGATTCCAGCATGGCCTGTCCATGCTCAAGGAGAGGGATATTATTTTCTCCTCTCACACCTATTTCAGTTTAATTAAAAGTAAAAAGTCTCACATTTCCAGCATGAAAACCATCGATCCTCAAAAATCAGGGAAATTCCTATTCACGCTCCACGGAAGACCTCGAGTCTTATTTGGGGCTGCATTGGCACAAAATGATAAATTGCCATTTATTCTGGGTAATCTGAGGAATAATCCAGTCAGCATATTTTCCCAAACACCCTTTAAAAAAAAAAAAAAGTGATTATGTTGGCAATGTTTCTATCAGGTGGTTTTAAGGCCTGGAAGAGGCGTGTGACACTTATTTTTAGGTTCTGTCCTTTTCTTCCCCCTCCCTCCAGCTCCCCCAGTATCAGTGTTTCCTTAGAAACCCCGGCTGGCAGCTGGCATCTGGAAAAATGTGGAATGACACCCGGCTGCCATTTGAGGGAGGTGATTATTGTGCAAACAACGTGTTTTCTATTGCTGGCAGAAGTCTTGGGTTTGATCCTCTTCCCGAAAACAATAATTTCACAGAGGTTTAGGAGGGGGAGGAGCCTTTTTCTGCTTCACTTTGCATTCCCTGTTGGAAAGGAGCAGCACTCCGAGGAAGAGCTCATTGCTATGCAGAGATAGAACCCTTTTTTTAAGTCAGGTTGTGCTCCTGGTGCTGGATGGATTTGTTGTCAGGAGAGCTGCATGCTGGGGTTGCATAACTCTTTAGAGGTGTTTATGTACAAGCTCTCCCAGGGGTGATGTTTTATCAAACCTTATTACAAAAGCTCCCTTCTCTGCAAGCCATCAAATTCTTATTGAGCCATTAAAATTCACTGTGGTGTCTGGTCAAGGATAAGCAGAGGCTGTTTTTCATATTCATGTGAGTAAGATGTAGCACCTGGAAGTTTCCAGGAGATTTGGTCTAAGCTGGAGCTATCCTGTGCTGTGGTCACTTATGGGCTTCTGCTTTATAGGCAGAGAATCCCAGAATGGTTTGGGTTGGAAAGGACCTTAAAGCTCATCCCCTTCCACCCCCTGCCATGGGCAGGGACAATTTCTGCTATTCTAGCTTGCTCCAAGCCCTGTCCAACCTGGCCTTGGACACTTCCAGGGATGGGGCAGCCACAACTTCTCTGAGAAACCCATAAGAATGGGTTGGAAGGTTGTTTTCTGTTGTGTTCAGATATTTTTACTTCTTCTCCAAACTACTTGTTTAGAAGTGCTTTGATTTACCTCTTTCCCTGCCTCCTCTGCCCTCTGTGTCCCCCCCAAACCCCTGTTCTGCATTATGTCTGAACTCCTGACCTCCTTCTTTAACCGGACTGGGAATATGAGTTGAGTTTTGTTGCTGAAATGTGCCACTGCTGCTGATTGCATTAAAGAAATTTAGAAATATAATGCCAGCTGGGGTTTGTGGTTCTTATACCTTAAGAAGTGATTGTCCCCCTGGTGAGGCCTCACTTGATGATCTTAGAGGTCTTTTCCAACCCAAATGATTCCATGATTCTATAATCCAAAAACTGGTTTCTTCCCTGTGTGGGAGGTGAGGGAAGGATTGAGGAGAGAAGGTTCATGGCAGAGAACTTTCCAGCAGGGAGAGAGAAGGTGACTTGTGATGTGGCAGCTGCAGCCTCAGCACTGAAAACCCCTCCCCTCCCACCTACAAGCCCCAAACACCTCTGAGGCAGTCAGAGTGGAGCAGCAAATCCTGCATGAATTCCCCAAGAAGTGAACTATCCCAGTCCCCTGAGCTGCCCTGTGCTCTCAGCTGGGCTCCTGGGGGTGGGTTTTGCTCCAAACTTGGGAGGTGTAAAGCTGGATTTGGTTTTGTCTGAAAATCTGCAAACTGCTTCCGTCTTTGTCTTTGAGGACTCTGATGATGAGCCAAGGTTAAACCCTTGGGAATGGCGGCACTGTTTGGTTTATTTATGGGCTGGCACTTATCAACTAATAACCAGTGTAGACTATAACAGAAAGGACACTGATATATTTGATAAACAGACTTGTATTCAAATATCTAATATTTTTTCTTTGCATTCACATTTAAAGGTAACTGTAAGTGCAAAACATCCAGGTATAATTTGTCTTGAAAGCTTGAACCTGTTGCTCTGCTGGAGGGTTTCTTTTGGGATGTGCCCACGGAAGGTGGGACGAGTATTGGGGCTCCCACCTAGTTGGGCTTGAATGTCTAATAGTTGGGGTTAAGCAGCTAATATGTGTTGTACAGGGTATCAGGTGTGATTTACAGCGTGAGAACAGCTTCAGTGCTCAGGAAGGGTTTGCACATCCCAGGAGTTTCTGCTCTGGTGGTGCTTGGCTGCCCGAGCCCGTGGCTTCCCGAGCATCCATGGGGGTGACGGGGCAGAACGGAGCTGCCAGCGCTGCCCACACAGATTTATGGGGGCACTAAAGTGTGTGGGATTGTCTCCACACAGCCCCAGAGTGTGTGAGGACACAGCAGGTGACCTGTGACTGAAAGGAGGGAGCACCTATCCATTTACATTTGCTGGGAAGTCTTGGAGCACTGAGCTGTGGACACTTTATCAAGTGTTGCCTGACAGCATCTAGGAAGGATGTTCTGCAACGTCTCACAGCATTGCCAGGCACCCTTTAGAGGAGAGAGATCTCCCTTTAGAGGAGAGAGATGCTTTCTGGGGCCCTTGCATTGATTTGTTTCCTTGGATAACACTTCACCCAGCCAGTGTGGACTTGCTCATTTCTGAGATTTTATTCCTTTGTGTTTTGGTCCCTTTGCCTCTTGGATTTTAGCCATGTAATTTTCTCTCCAGTGACACTTGGCTACTTCCCCAGCAATTAGCATGGACACCCTGCCTTGTCCTTGTTCCCATGGAGCTCGTGTGTAACCTCAGTCACAGTCCCTTGAGCACTGCCCTGTAAAAGCCCCTCCTCAGCCAGACTGAAACAACTGAGGCTTCTCCACATTTGTTGTTTTTAATTTTATTTTTTTCCCCTGCCCCAAATGAGCTGTTGCATCCAAACCAACCCCCATAACTCCTGCTCTGCCATCTGATCTATCCTCACAGAAATTGTTGTCAAATGGGAGTGATTGCTCTGTTTTCTTACAGGTCTTTCCTATTCTTGTGCTGCTGATGTGCTGTGACTGTCACTTAGGATTTTAAATATACATTAGAAACTTCCTTCCTCTATTTTTCTGCTGCTTATACTTAATTTTTAAGAGGTTTGTGTCTGTACCTGTGAGGTATTTTCTCTCTTTCTGGAGATATATGTGCCAGTGACAGTCTCTATGTTACATTTTTAATCATTTGTGCATTAGAGTAGTTCATAAAGGGTTGGATTAATAAGATGTGTTTCATATTCAAAGTATAAATGACTGCCATCAAGATGATACTTGAGAGAATAAAATCTCACTGGAAATCATAGTCCTGAATAAACCTGGAAATTCAAATGCCCTGCAGGTGGGAGATGCTGCAGGATCAGGGAAAAAAAAAGCATTTTTCAGAGCTGCAAACATGAAC